CTAAACCTAATAAGTGCTTCTGGACTAAAAAGTGTTTTGCTGAAAGAATATAAATGTACGTCCAATTCTCCATGCAGTATCTGAGCCAAAAGTCCTCCTTTTGTACTAATGCCTTAGCTGATGCTAAAGTAACGGAATTTAAAAACAAACATACAGGGACCTGAAGCCTTCTCTGTCATTCACAGGAGAATGAGCAGCCCATTTTCTGTTACAAGTATTTCTCTCGAAAAGAGCAGGCTGTGTTACAACACTGATGATGGGATTTGTGGAGGCTGCCATAAAATAGCTCACTCTCTCTTCCTGCAAAACAACATTTTTTCATTACCCTGCAAATCCCAGGCTATTCATGCAGGTATAAGGAGTGCAGGCTCAGGGTCTCCATTCTGCTTATGTATTTCTGCTGCCTTTGGCTCTGCTGGAAGTGTCAGATGCCTTAGTACATGTCAGCTGCACACCAGGGTGCTCTCATCAGTATGCTATGAGCTCCAACTCTGGTTGTGGAAGCATCAGCTGGATATAAACCAGATCTGCTTCAAACACCTTGTCACCATCCTGCAGGCCCTCGCTGTTTACTGGCCACAGGAGCACTGCTCTAAGGGGCAGATTTTTCTTAAAGTATACATAGTTGTACAAACAAGGTATTTCTGTGATCGCTACAATTAATACTTTTAGATGGTAACTGTGTACCCAGACAAAAAACTTCATTTCATTGTCTGCTAATGTACTTTATACGTAAAAATCTCATCCTAAATTCACATTTATGTGATTTTTTTTTTTCATTTGTTCATTTACTTTTTCTTCCTAATTTTGAGATTTTAAGTGTCATTTAATAAGATATCCACTGCTATCACAGGGATGAACATTTCAAGCACTACAAAAAGTATCTGTATTCTGGTGAATTCAGTCCTGAGATGATAACAAAATGTATCCATCAAAGTAATTTAGAAAATGCATATATTCCATAAACCATAATCATAAAGTTAGACATATCTAATCATCAGATAAAAAGCACTGCATTTCATAATTGCAGTTAGGTTTCCCCAGAGCTGAAATCTCTGCAACCAGGACAACCCAAACAGATTCATAATGACTATCTAAAAAAATCTTGCCCCTAAGTAATTAGCCTCTTAAACAGGCATCATACCAGTCACACCCCGCAAACCTGGGGAATAACTTCTGAGGTTTCCAGTGCTGACCTCAAAAAGCTTAAACAAGAGATATGCCTCTGTTAAAAGAAATATCCTGCAAACACCAAGGAGACTTTAGCATGTTTGCTTCTTACTAGAAAAGAAAATCAGAACAGAATAATTGTGCTGCAATTGTTAGTCTAACAGAAATTGAACTTCAAGTAACTGTGGCGTCATGTATTATATAAAATGGCTGAAAATTATTTCCTCCTATTTAATCAAGACTTATCAGCCAGTTGTTGGGGGAGTGGGGTGAAAACAGAACACTGTTGTTTACTCCTGAGATCAGAAAGTCCATTATCTTTAGGAACTATGTTTTGAAAAATTGTCTCTGACTTAGTGAAGTAATTGTCTTTTTCAAAATAGTTACAGACTATCCTGAAGAATAATGCTGGAGTTTAGTCACAGCAACTCATGAAAGCTGTCCAAGGTATAAAATGTTGGTCACGAGGAAAACTGCCCTCTGATTTCAAGTTGTTTTCAAATATCCAAATACTGATGTAGGTTTTTTGATACAAAAAAACAAAAGCTGCATCAGAATTCTATATTCAACACACTTGGCAAAGACTCAGGAAATGTGACTTGTGCTTGTTAACATGAATCACAGATAACAATTAAGGTCAAAATACAGTCAAAATACTGCACTTGTTTTGCCATCCATATCAACAGGACCAGCTCAAAGTATCACGTTATAGTACAGTTTAATTCACTGTTTAGAAGTCAGGCCACTTATAGACTACATTGTGTACTTTGTATGTAATGTTAATGAATATTTAAATATTTGAATGGCAAGGCTTAATTGTAAAATGTGTCACGCAATAAGTCTCCTATTACTGGTTCTGAGCCGAGTCCATAGCAACTGTCACACATACCTAGGGGTTCCTTAAACTTCAGGTAGATTACAGAACTAAGTCCACACAGGGAAACCTAAAAGTTAAACCACATATCTAAGAGCCTTGTCAGAACTCTTTAATACCAGCAGGCTTGGAGGCCTGGGGCCACGACCACCTCTCTGGAGATCTTGTTCCAGTACTTGACTGATTTTTCCTAAAATCCAAACTGAACTTCCCCTGACGCAGATTTAAGACATTATTATGTACATGGGATGTTTGTTAACAGGATTCTGTGGCGTGATAGGCACCTTCACGGTTTTTTAAGTGGAAAACTGGCAGCTAACAAAAATAAGGATCACTCTAGTCAATTCAACATTGTCTGCAAGGTAAAACCATGCCACTTCAATTTAGAAATAATGCGTATGTTTTTAACTGTGACGATCATTGACATAACCACTAAGAAAAATTACGTGTTTTTTGCCATTTGTAGGAGGACTCATCTGACAAGAGTGTAATCATACAGTGTAGACATCCACATTTAGACTAAGTCTATAGACTACCCTTCCAGACAACTGAGAAAATACACATTTTTAGGGCGTGATTCATCTCATCCTAGAGTAGACACCTAAACTAGGACATAATAAAGTAGACTTCCCCAAAAGTCCTTATTTCAGTAGTTTTACAGGGTAGACATCCATGTGAGAGGAATCCTAATATAAATATATTTAAAAATCAAATTAAGATGCCTCTATGAAATATAAGCTTTTTAAAACACGATGATTTACCAGGTTAGGTACAAAGATAACAGCAACATTCTACAATATCACCATTCCTCCTGCCCTGAAATCTATTGCACCTAAAACTGAAGGGAGGACAATTAATACCCTCTGAAGACCTTCTCAGTACCTCTACTTTCAGTCTAAGTATGATGAACTCACTTTTTTCTTCTGAATTCTAAAGGAGTCTTATAAGCACTTTTTGCAAATATTTGATTATTCCTAGAATTTCACTGTATTCAAGCATTTTTTCCTTTGCACCGTCTTTATAGTCTTTCTTTTATAGGTTTTCCTGTGCAGCCACTGAAATCATCAGGAATTTTCTGAAAAATAATGAGTGGTAATGAAAATAGCAACAAACTGTGACTCTTGAAGTAAAACATACACCTTCAAAATTTCCCAACAATTGCATCAGTCACTCGAAATAAATGAAAAGATGGAGAGGATCTGAAAGACAGCTCTCCCAGCAGGTGACAGTATATCTAGAATGTATTAACCAGCTATTGTCTTTGGAAAAATAGAGAAATCAAACAAACAACCCAGAAAAATCTATTTTAATAGGATTAATACCTGTTTGAAACAGCCTTATTTCAAAACTGAAAACACTACGTCTTCTGGTATCTTCAGACATGTGTCTTCTAATTATTATTCTGAGTTTGATGAATGTCCACATGAAGCTTTAAAAAATATTCTTCAAGATCTATAGCCCAAGATATTTTTTCTTCTGAATATGTGGACATTTTTCAATAATAAAATATTTTAACATTTAAAAAAATATCATTATTAGCATTGATATCTAAAAATAAAAATATTTAATCCAGAACTCAATATATTGTCATTTGAATATTTTCATTTGGTGTCATATTTCATAGAATTTCTAGCTTGGTTGCCTTGCATCCACACTCTCCTTTCTGGGCAGAACAATTCACTTAGATTAAAACTCTCAATTCACCATATACAAAGAGTTCAAGGAATATAGTTCAAGATATGATCTAATTAATGGATAGAAAAGAGTTGGAACTCAGAAGTATTTTATTGCACATGGAGCATCATAAGAACATCCCTGAACACATTTTTTAAAATTTTACATCCTTTCTGACAAGTTTTAAACTTCAAAACAGTCTATCAATTTTGGGGAAAAAAAGAAAAAGAAGAGAGAAGCATTTCAGATGCAACCCTTATTTTTTTAACAGATATAAGGAACTGCAGTTTACAAAGTGCATTTCAACCATGATATAAATAGTCCTATGGGAAGCGTGTCCAGCCTTCTCATCCAGCCACATATGGCTTTTGTTATGGGCTGTAGACAGTGTTGAATAACTGTCCTACACAATACCCCTCATTTTCTTTGAAAACAAAAGATTTGTACTATGGGAAGAACAATTTAACCAGAAACAGGAGTAAGTACACATAATGAAAACAGTGTGTAATCTGACCCCTGAAAAAGAAAGACACATATATATCTCCATGGTTTTCTTCCCTCATGAATCCCCGTCTCCTACCTAAACATTACTAATTCCAAATGCCAGCAGCTACAAGGTTAGTATAAGGTCAAGAGAAGTAGAACAGCATTGGAATTTTAAAACGGTACAAAAGGACATGCGTTTTTCCACCTCCTGCACCAATCTAGAAGGAACTGGAGTAGCGTGGGAAGGAAGCATATTAGCACTGAGAAAAAGCAGGCAGTCTACACATTCTTCTTCTATACAGGTCAACAGCTATTTACAAAAGAGGCATATGGCCCCTTAGAGACACAGAACTCTCTGAGCTCCTCTATGCTAGTGCTGAAGTTCAGATCAGGAGCCTACTTCTGAAGTGAATTTCCCTATTGTCATCCCATACTGTGCTTTGGCTTGTAGCATGGGACAATCCTGTATCACGTGAATTGTCTTCTACTCACACTAAAGTGAGTTGGAAGAATTGCTCCAGGAGTGCATCTAATGTCCTCCAGCCACAAACAGGCATTCAGTGCATACGACAAGGCAACAACTAGTCTGTGCGTTCTACCTGCGCTTACAGAAGTAAGGCACAGCTTACATGACTGTTGATGGGAACCAGTGAATAAGTCTATAAAAATGACTGTGATACACTGATGCAATTTTAAGTTCTTCTAGCAATAAACAGATTTCTACTGACAGATCATGACAGAATTATTCAGGTTTACATACCACTGACTACCTGAGAATAAAGAGCAAAGGGGTTACCTTAATAGGGCTCCCATCTGGAGTGAGAACCTCTTCTGAAAGCTCCATCATCTTCAGTGCCATCAGAGCAATGGCTTTGGCATGACTAAGGCTTTTCTTATGGAGCCCTGCTGCAACGCAGTATGCATCACCTATTGTTTCCACCTGCAGCAATCAGACAAATCAAATGTTAAAGTATGATAATGAGAAGAGAACCCTACCATTAGTTACCTGCAATCAAATAGCATTGCTTAAAACATGTGAGCAAAACATCCATAAAATAAGCAATTAGACAACAGAGCATAATTACCTGAGTTTGCAAACAGGTGCAGCCAAAACCTGACATGCAATTGCATAGTGGTTCATCACCATTATAACCAAAGAAGATCATTAACTGTGTATGCCATCAGCTGAGCGATGACAACATTCTTCCATAGCAGCAATACAAAAAATTCTGTTTTCCTAAATAAGAAATTGCTTGCAGCTTTGACACTATCCTGGCTGAGTTTGCTGTTGGGTAAGAATGGTGCTACATGATTATAATTTGCAATTATTATTTACTCTTCTAGAAAAGTATATCAGGAAAAGAATTAGAAAAAACAAAACATCACCATCAAAAACAGTGAAGAGTCTATAACTTCTCATTAGCTGACAGCTCTTCCCAGTATAGGAATAATTTACAAATAGATGCTACTGCTACAGACTTCTGACTGCACCTGTCTCTTATTTTCAAGTAAAAATTGTTGCCTCTCTCTACAATGCAGGTTATGTGACTGTGAATTCCCTGCCTTCACGCATCAAGTTCAGCAGCCTGATCCCCCTGGTCTCTTCAGACAGGCCATACCTCCCTCTTATCCTTGATTTTCTTTAAAGAAAGCTGTCCCTCAGGAGGAAGCAGGAACAAAAGAAATTACAGAAGCCGTCTGGCTCTGGATAAAGGCAGCCTGAGAAACGCTGAAGTCCTGAAATTCTGCAGCTTTATTGACAGCATTGTGTTTTGCAGTCTGCTTGCCCACACACCTGCAACATGGTCTGTTAACAGCGTCCGTTAACACATGCCCAAGCAAACGCAGCCCTCGAGGATTAGTTTGGGTTTTTCTACATGATTAATGTGGCTTTCACCCTGCCCACAGCACTACAGGAATGACAGAAAAGGCTTCAGGAAAGACTAGGGTGAGAAGAAATCATGCACTGAGCAAGAAGTTATTCAGGGAATAAAACCAGCTGATTCTTCTCTCTGCAGAGATTCTACTAATAGTAGAAGACCTGCACCCTCTCAGATTAATTTCCAGTCCTGACAAACAGAATTGGAAATAGTATCTCAAAAAGTAAGCATTACATGTAAATGTACCCAGTGCATGAATCTAGAACAGCTGTATGATCAAATACTTCCCAACATCAAACTTAGCTGCTGCAAGCCCATTGCTGAGTTTGGAACCTTAGCCTTTCCTGCTGACTGTGCAGGAGGATATATATAAGAAGCTGAGGGTTTCTCATAAATTGAGAGCTGAGACAGCTGTTAGAGCTCCCTTGTCACTTTTGGAAGCTCCTAATAGTACTTGTATATAGAAAAAACATGTAGGAGCAATCAATACTGCTGCCTGCCTGCCTGTTTTACCCAAGCCTATCTCAGGGTCTCTGTTCACAGAGACTGCCAATTCCCTGCAGTTTAGGAGGTTGTATTTCCAAAGACAAATGGATAGACAAGTATGTTGCAACGGCTAGTGACAAATGTAGAAACTAGGGAAGAAAATACATGAGCATAGTGAGAAATATCAGAAGTTAAAGAGACATTCTGGATAGCTAAGAAATAGATGGTAAAAAATTCTCCAAATCAGAAGGAAGAATTAGCAGAGATCCAAATAACTGCACACTGTCATTCTTTAAATTGTGGATGGACATAACCAGTTTGAACAGAAATAAAGGGGTTACTACAAAAAGAGCTGAGTCAAAAAAAAAATGAAAAATTGAATACAAAGTCTGTTCTTTGTTGAATGATTTAATTTCAGAACAACTTTTCCACTAGTTAGTTGTGTTACACCACTGTAAGCAAGTATAGATCTGGGACCATATACTGTTCCTGAAATGTTCAGGAAAACCTACTTACTTTGTTAGCTTCTTCCCCTTTGGAAATTTCCATAGTGGTGTAAACTAATTTAACAGCTAAATTGCACTTACTGAATGAGTAGCATCATCAGAGTTTCATTGTACATAACTGTGTACTACAAGAAAAATGGGACTGAAGCTGCCTCATGTTCACCATACTCTGAAAATAAAAATTATAATAATACCATTGTAGGATACTCTTTAACGTGCTCATCCCTGTGAAGTTCCTCTGCCAGTAACAATGGAGAACCAGGGGAATGATTAGGACAGTTAAGACTGACCTGATTGTTGAAAATGGATGTGATGAGTACTGATAAAGTTGTCTAATGATTTACCATTCTGTGACCCTGTTTTCAGTCACTAAGCTTTTTCCCAACTAAGCATTTAAGCTAAAATTTCCATGCTGAGTATCTCCATCAAACTTTAATCCTGGTTCAGTCCTTCAAAATTAGATTTGACAAATTTTTCAATAATCTGTGGGTTTTTTCCCCCAACTCCTGTTTTAAAAAATCTCCAGGAGTTGTTATAATTCATTTTGTTCATGGCACTTTGATTTGGTCCTCTCATATGGCGTCACAGAATCATGGAATGGTTTGGGTTGGAAGGGACCTTCAGAGATCTTCTAGTCCAAGCCCCCTACCATGGGCAGGGACACCTTCCCCTCGATCAGGTTGCTCAAATCCCTGTTCAACCTGGCCTTGAACACTTTCAGTGATGAGGCATCCACAACTTCTCTGGGCAACCTGTTCCAGTGCCTCATCACCTTCATCATACAAATTTCTTTCTTATAATCTGTCTAAATCTACTCTTTCAGTTTATAACTGTTGCCTCTTACAGGCCTTGGCAAAATGTCTCTCTCCATCTTTCTCATAAGCCACTTTTTTATATTGAAAGGGCACAATAAAGTCTTCCTGGAGCCTTCTCTTCTCCACATTTAATAATCCCAACTCTCAGCCTTTCTTCAGAGGAGAGGTGTTCTAGCCCTCTGATCAATTTTGTGGCCCTCCTCTGGACCCGCTTGAACAGGTCCATGTCTTTCTTGTACCAGGGACCCCACAGTTGAATGCAGCACTGCAGGTGGGGTCTCACAAGAGCAAAGTAGAGGGGGAGAATCACCTCCTTCAACGTGCTGGCCTCACTTCTTTTTATGCAGCCCAGGATACGGTTGGCTTTCTGGGCTACAAGTGCACACTGCTGCGTCAAGTCTAATTTTTTGTCTACCAATATCCCCAAGCCCTTCTCTGCAGGGCTGCTCTCAATTCATCCATCCCTCAGTCTGTATTAATATTGGGGATTACCCTGACCCATGTGCAGGACTTTGCACTTGGCCTTATTAAATTTCACGAGGTTATATGAGGACATTAAAATAGAATCTGCAATGAAAGCAATACATCATGCTTCAAAATTTCAGGTTGGGCCTGTCAGTGAGTCAGACATACATGGGGAAGAAGGGGATTTATCTTGTCTTGGCTGAGAAGCAAGAATTGGACCAGAAAATAAAGCACTGCTTATAGCTCGCTCCAAACTATCTTCTCGGTAGATCCTGAAATCACTATGCACACCAAAGAGCAACTTACTCCATAAATATTCAAGTAAATGTCAATAGGATTTAGAGAAAAGGAAGGTACTACTCAAGGTAGCTAAAAATAGCAGCACTCAGATCTGTTTGATGATCTTTGAGATGATAATACACAGTAATGAAACTCCAGAGAAAATCTCTACCATGTGATAAACTAACTTTAAGCTTCTGAGTTTGTAATGTGACTATTATAGTGCATTATTAGTGGTATATTTGATTTTTATATCCTTCCTAGATACATATGCAGGAAAAGGTATTTCACTGTCCCTGTAAGATTGGAATGTATTATCCTGCTTCTTTTAAAAAACAAAATACATTCTGTTTTGAATATTTCAGCTATTTTTGCATATGGTTGATAGTTTTACCTTTCTTAAGATTTAGTACATTTTTTTCTAGTTAAATAATCATTTCTTACTGCTCTGAATATTTCCAGCAACTCACTGATAGCCTGACCTACTCTCACCTACTTTCATCCCTTTTCACTGATTTACACTCACTGTGGGCAGCTTCACTGGACTTTCATTAGTTGGGAATTAATATTTAGCATCATAGAGAGAAGTGAGGTTGAACTTAGATTTCAAAATTAGACCAATCTATAAAAATGTAGGATATAATTTTTATTCTTAATTAACAAACAAAGAAGTCAGGAAACACTGCAGCTACTTACACTGCTATACACAGGCCTTCTCTAAATCCTTCTGTAACTCTGCATCAAGTCATTGGAAATGTCCAAAAGATTTTCAGTCAGGTCCTCGACAAATCAAAGATTAAGATTCATAATTAATTGAAGTAGTTGTGTGTCCCCATCAATTCAGAAGAAGCTTCTTGCTAGATATCCTGAGACTGCTAAGAGTGACAATGCATAACACTTGCAGCAGGCAGCAAACAAAAATCTCTTCTACTTTCGGGAACTCATTTCCTATGTACCCAGCTTCTGTTAGTCCTCAATAGATACCATATGTCTGGTTTAGACATAAATAGTAATTTTTACAGAAGTTGAGATCTATAGTAATTTTTTTATCATCACTTATTCTTAATTCATACTGGTTTTAGGTGGAATATGACTTGCAGATGAATCTGGTAGCCCAGCAAACAGAATATAATTTCTCCAATTCTAATGTGTCCAGAGAACAGAGGTTAATAAACTGTCCCCAGGGCAGCTCCAACAGATCTCTTTGAACTAACAGTAGCTAAACCTTGTGTTGTGCTACGTTAACTGAGAAAGTCGAAGTTGTAACTGAATCATGTTCCCTGAGTATAAAGTTGGGGTGTTGATTCCGTGACAGTTTAGAAGAGAAAATGTGGACTATTGAAGTAACATCCCTGCTTCTGTACTTTTCCTCATGAATGCATGAATATGCACCAGTCATTATGTATATGAACTTCTACAGGTAATGAAGGAACTGAAGTGTTAGACTTCATCTCACAGGATTACACACATGGTGGGAAATATCATTTTGTAAGTGAAAACTGCAATGGC